TAGAAATAAACCCGTCTTTTTTTTTTCTCCATGCTACAGCATGTCTATGCAAATCTGAGGATTCATATGTATGTGTTCTTAGAAAGGAATTTCTTTCATCTTCAAGTCATCACTAAAATCATTCAAATCCTAATATCAATAGATACCTGGATTAAGTGAGGGGCAGGACACCTCTTCTTACTGATTTGGTCATCTCAAACTAGACTCTTGCCCAACTAAGATATCCACCATACTCTGAAGGAATATGGTCTGTGTCTTTAGTTCCATATAAAAGGTATCCAAAATTACTTATTAGACTGTATCATTAAAATTGTTGTTGTTGTTGTTAGGTGCCATCAAGTCGGTACTGACTCATAGCGACCTTATGCACAGCAGAATGAAACACTGCCTGGTCCTGGGCCAACCTCACTACTGTTGCCATGCTTGAGTCCTTCGACCCTGCCACTTGGCCAATCCATCTTGTTGGGGGTCTTCCTCCTTTTCTCTGACCCTCCACTTACCAATCATGATATCCTTCTCCAATGACTGGTCCCTCCTGACAATATGTCTGAAGTATGAGAGACGAAGTTTGGCCATCTTGGCCTCCAAGGAACACTCTGGCTGCATTTTTAAAAATACTTATCAGTTAATACTAGATTTATAAGATTGTGTGATCAATTTTTTTTTAATTGCTTGTTATTTGAAATATGGGGTTTATTGTGTGATCCATTTAAAAAGAAAGACTTCTGTTTATTTTTTAAAGAAATAAAAATATATCTGGAAACATGAAAAATAAAATAAGCGCTTGAAAGAGATCTGATGAAGTTTCGGGATCTAAATCGCTGTAGGTTTTAAGTCTTGCTATCGGACCTAATGTTGCTTTAGCTAAATTCCCAGGTCTTCTATGATAAGAATTATTCAGCTGGTGCTTTTTTCTGTTCATTTTCTAGTAACGTTTTTTATGTGTAATAAGCTTAAATAGATTATAATACAGGCAGTCTATGGATTATCAATGAGTTCCTTTCCTTAATCTGCCTTTAAATTGAATTTTTACATAGGTCAGAACAGTTAGATATGCATCTAAGATCATTTATTCAAATATTTGTCTTAGTATATAATGTACGTTTCTATACATTATTGTTGTTTTAAGTGATGTTAAGTCAGTTCCAACTCATAGTGAACCTGTATAGGATTTTCAAGGAGTGAGTGGTGGGTTTGAACTACTGACCTTGTGGTTAGCCCCATTCTCATCATGCAATGCCATATCAGGATTCCCTTCCTATGTATAATAAACCTTAAACACTTCTAGATACTAAAGTATCTTTAACATATTAATGCAGTGGTAATACTTATGGAGTCCTGATGTGGTACTCTAGGTTAAACACTGCTCTGCTAACCCCAAAGCCCTCAGTTCAAACCCACCAGAGACTCCTTGGAAGGGTCATTGTGTGTCAGACTAGACTCAATGGCATGTAGCAACAACCATAATATGTTTATGTACATCACAAAATAACACTCCTTTGTTATTGTGAACCATTGTATAAACCTCAGATGTTTAACATAGTAGACTTTATGCTGGTCGATTTATAACTACAGGTTGTGGGTAAGTCTGATGTTGGTAATTTAGGGACTGCCTATATTTAGCTTCTACAGAAGTCCCAAATGTTTTCATTTTTATTCGGTTGATGTATAATTGGTATTTAATTGAACTCTGTGGTAAGAGAAATGATCTCTTTGAAATGATAATAATAAACCCCCAAACAAACCCAATGCCATCAAATCAATTCCACCTCACAGCAACCCTATATGACAGAATATAACTGTTCCTTAGAGTTCCCAGGTCTGAAATCTTGCTACGAGCAGTAACGGTCTTATTTTCCTCTCATGGGTCAGCTGGTGAGTTTGTACCAGCAATCTTGTGTTTAACCCACTGAGCCACCAGCGATCCTTAGCTGGTGTGATAAAAGTGCTTTACAGTGTATTTATGGTAGAAATCTCTTGGTCTTTGGGTCTAACTGTGTTCAATCTGTATGTTTTTAGATATTCTGAATTATTTCAACTATGTCTCTGAGATAAGCTTGTAATCTTGCCATCTACAAAAATCTATTTAGCTTTCAGTCAGATAAATCTGCCTGTTACTAGACTATCTGTTAACAAAGATCCCTGAGTCATGTGGCAGCAGTTTTTGGATAGGGCAGACTACATTTTGCTAAACTTATGACTGCCTTAATTATTGTTTATTGGTACAATAATTTAATTTCTATCATCCACCTGTGGTCAGCAAACCAATCATTCATTCATCCATTCAGCACCAGCTCTAATCTAAGTCTGGGTGGAGTTCTAGAACCTAAGGATCAAATAGAGAATAAACCAAATATTGTAACTGATGTGATTTCAGGGTAGGGCTTTAGAATATATACTGGACCACAAGGTTGGCCTGAACCACAAGGTCGACAGTTCAAACTCTCCAGCTGCTCCTCAGAAACCCTATACAGGGCCCCTGTGAGTTGGACTCCACTTGACAGCATTTAACAACAACAACAAAGGAGAGGATCATAGAAACAGTCGCACAAGTTTTCAGGGGGCAGTGCTTAGTGTGGAATGAGAGGGGTTATCTGTCAAAGCAATATACCTTCCAAAAACTGTAACACAAAGACAATACCCACAAGGGAACTAGGGCAAGGGATTTCCTGAAGAGGAGGCAATCAGAGAGGGAGTTAATGCATCTAGCAGCAAGTTCTCACTTAGCAGCAAGGTGAGGAGTCTCTGGCAGAATACTCTGAAGATTAACAGAGGTTTCGGATCTTTTGTCGCCACAGAATATGTCTTATTTATGATTAGCCAATGATGAGTATAGTTTTGCAGGATACAGAAAGTAGGCAGGCTCTAAATATGCTAAAATACGTTAACTTGTTTGATCATTTGAGTGGCACCAGTGCACTGTGGGGTATTGGTGCGGCACGCTGTTATGCAAGTTTGGTTTGAACCGCATGGTCAGTGGTTCACGCTCACCAACTGCTCCTCAGAAACCCTATATGGAACTGACTCAACAGCACTTAACAACAACAACAGTAACACCATGTGCTTTGGACTAAGGGTCATAGACTGTTGTTAAGAAGTAAACAACATGGTGGCCATTTTTGACTTTACATTGTGGTTCTCTCTGGCCTGTTCATACAGCATCAGGTAAGCCTTGCTCATACTGCTTGAGTGGAAGGTAGAAAGGCAGGCAACTAATTGTTGTTGTTAAGTGCTGTTGATTCCGTTCTGAATTCATGATGATCCTGTAAAGGATTTCTGAGGAGCAGCTGGTGAGGTTGAACCATTGATCTTGTGATTCAGACTGACCTTGCAGTCCAGCTCATTAACTCACAGCACCACACCAGAACTCTAAAAAGAAAAGCCAATGTTAAACAAAGATGATTCTGGAGAGTGCAAATTGCTATGAAGAAAGTAAAACAGTAAAGGGATAAAGACAAATGAAGAAAAGTATAAGCTTCTCTGGTTATACGCTGAATGATGACAAAAAGCCAGCCATCTGAACAGACTCCACCTACAACAATTAAAAAAAAACAAAGACCAAGTAACAGGGAATTTCCAGCCACTTTTCCATTGTTGTTGTCACGTGCTTGTCTAGTATTTCTAAGGAGTGGCTGGTGGGTTTGAACTAGTGCTTATCCTACAGCACTACAGCTTCCATAAGGAATCCTAATATCTGATTTTTCTTGTTGACTCACTAGAACCACTGCCTCTCACAGAATCTGAATTTCAAATGACTTGGGCAGACTAGAGTTGCTGGCTAAAACCTGTAAAATGAAATGTGATGGATGTGAATGCAAAATAGTGCATTTGGGTTCACACACCCAATTATGCAGCACAAAATGGTCTACTTGTAGCTTGACAGATGTTCACCCGAAAAGAATCTAGGGATTCTAATTGACCACAAATTGGAGAATGCTCTTTGTTGTTCCTGATGGAAAAACCAATATGTAGATATTACCCTTGGGCAGGTTTCTGACCACTTTAAGATAACATTAGAGCTGTCCAAAAATGGGACACACTGCTATGGCAGGCAGAAAACACTCCATTCTTTAGTTTAAAAAATCAAGGAAGAATCCCCATTGTTGCTTTTGTAAAAACAAAACAAAACAAAACAAAAAACTCTGTTGTTTGAAACCCAGTTTAATGAGGGTTTTCCTGCAAGCCTGTTTCTTTTATTCCAACAAAAGTTTCTTCAGTTTGAGATAATTTATATGTAACTAAGGAGTTCTGGTAGCATAGTGGTTATGAGTCAGGCTGCTAACCTCCAGATCAGTAGTTCGAAATTACCTGCCATTCTGTGGGAGAAAGATGAGGTTTTCTGCTCCCATAAAGATTTACAGCCTTGGAAACCCATACAAGGTCCCTATGAGTCGGAATCGACTCCACGGCACATCACCACCACCACCACCACCACCACCACCACCAGCATGGAATCAGTGACATGGATATATTAGGTATATGGTGAAATTTACAAAAGTTTAGTTTTCTCAAAATAAAAATCTGATGTTTAAAATTCTTATCTTATTGTGATAATGAAGCATTTACCATTCAACATTCTTCAGATGTATAGTTTGCTGACATTAATTTGTGCTCATCATGTTATTCAACCATAATTCTTATCTGTTCTTAAACTTTTGTTAGCAACCTTAACAGAAGCTCAGATTAAAAAAATAATAATTTTGACCCAATATCTACTCTGTTTCTGATTAGGTATAATAATAAAATAAATATATGTAGCTATTTCCTAGTTTTGCCATGTAGTATCTGTTTTACTTAGATCATTTACTTAATTCCTCTGTGTTTCACTTTCCTCGTAATGAGGACAATAATTGTAACTTCCTTGAAAGAATGTTGTGAGGATTAATTTAGTTAGTAAACACAAAGCCATTAGAGCAGTGCCTCACAATAGGAAGTGAGATGTAAGTGTTAGCTCTTATTGTTGTTATTAAATGTAAATGTGTGCTCTATTCTTCCTTTAGGAGTTAATGACCAAGTTAATCACTGAGACACCTGACCAGCCAATCCCATTTCTTGTTGACTATCTTCAGTCTAAACAGGGAAACTGTGGACAACTTCAAAGAACTTTGTCTGGTTCTGCAGCTCTCTGGGCAGAAAGTGAAACATCAGGTAAATTAAAACTGTATTTTGGAATTAATTTTGAAGAGATTTTATATAAATTTAATGTGAAAAGCTACAAAAATCTTTCTAATGATAAGATGATTCTCAATGGATAGCTACTACCTAGAGTTAGAGGGAAGAGTATAGCAGGAGGACAAGGGAAAGTATAGACTTATGTTTGCTGGTATAATTAAATGCTGTTGAGTTGGTTTTGAGTCATAGTGACCTTGTATAGAATTACTAAAGGAGCTCTGGTAGTGTAGTGGTTACGAATTGGGCTGCAAGCCACAAGGTCAGCAGTTTGAAACTGCCAGCTGTTCCGTGGGAGAGAGATTAAGGGTTCTGCTTCCATAAAGATTTACAGCCTCAGAAACCCTGTACAGGGTTGCTATGAGTTGGAACTGACTCCATGGTACACAGCCACCAGCCATAGAGTTACCAAGGAGCAGCTACTGGGTTTGAACTGCTGACCTTGAGGTGAGCAGGCCAGGGCTTATCCACACCAGGACCCTAGTGTTGTGCTTCAACATAAATATAATTAAAGCCAAATCCAGTGCCATCGAGTGTATTCTCTTTCCTAGTGATCCTGTAGGACAGAGTAGAATTACTCCTTAGGGTTTCTGAAACTGTAAATCCTTATTGGAACAGACAACTTTAACTTTCTCTTGCAGAACATTTGGTGGGTTTGAACTGCTGACCCTGAGTTAGCAGCTCAACACTTAACCCACTGTGCCACTAGGGCTCCTTAAATATAACCAAGGAGGTTATAATTTGAGTGACTATAACTAAATGCATTTTAAACCTTGACTGTCAAATTAATTATTTGGATGCATCTTCTATTTGGCTAGAAAATATCTCCATATTCAAAGTACATAGGTAGTATTCTTTTTGAAGATAACAAAAATACATGAAGAGTGTCCTCCTCTTTTTGCTTTTAAATATATATAGTAATTTGGGATAAAACATTTTCTCCTCAAAAGGTTGTCAGTTAATATTCTGAAAAGGAAATCTGAAAGCAGCCCCTCCTTTTTTTTTTTTTTAGATATTTTAATGATTCTTCCTGAGTATTTATGGAATTTACTTTTTCTGGAATATGTCTAACTGCTAGTCTTTTTTCTTAAACGTTGACATATTTAATGACTCATTTCATTCAACAAACCCAGGTCTTAAGCCTAGAAGCGTTTGCTTTTTGGATTCCGTTATATTTCATCTTCAGGGAAATCAATTACTTGTTCATTGAGTCTCCTGTGCCGTCCTCTGCTGCCTCATTTTATTTGACATTGTATGTGCCTTTCTTGCTGTATTGATTATCTTCCAGGAATGTCTATCAGCTGTGCTCTCTGTATTATTGATCATTATTGATTCAATTTTCATTATATTAGTTTTCTTTTTTTTTTTCCCTTTGGATGCCAATTTAAATCTTTGTATTATGTTTTAGTTTCCTGTCAGTATTTTCTTATCTCTATCTCACTCTCTCTCTCTTTTTTTTTTTTTGTCTTTAGTTGCATTTTCATCATAGATTTCTTATCCTCTATCAGTTCTCATTTGTATTTTTTTCATAGAGTTCATTTCTTTTCCCCATTTTCATTGAGAAGATTATTCAATCATTTAAAAAAATTTTATTGTACTTTCACAGTAAATCTTTTTCAGATCTATGAATTTTCTCTGCAACTTGAGTGCTATATTCTTTTTTCAAAAAGCTTTTGCTTTGAATGAGTCATAGTTTATATGAGAGTACATCGGTTTTGCAGTCATCTTATCATATTTTATTTCATTGCAATGATTACAATCCCCTCCATGCATCGTTATTTAACAGTATTTGCTTCTATTCCCTCTGTTTGTTTTCTTGATGTACACAAGCATACTCAGAAATATATAGTCATTTAAACAACCAAAGGGCACGTTCTGCTCCTGGCTGCCATCACAGAACCTTTCTCTTTCCATGACTCTAGAGTCCTCAGCTGCTGTATCTCTCCATGTCCTCATCTCTGTCTCCGTTCTGGTATTGCTGCTTCTCTGGATAGGGTCCCACATTCCACTCATGCTCTTTTCCCTTGATGGCCCTAGGGTCCTCTGTTTCTGGATTGTGAGATTAAATTCTTCCCCCTTAATGTTACAAAATTTCTACCTTTACAGTTGTGACAATCACAATTAGTCATGATCACAGTTACTCACTATTGAATCAAAAGAAATCCCCAGTTTCTTTCACCAGACCCATCTAGACAAGATGAAAACTGTTCAGTGGGGCTTCTACCTTCCCCCCACATACTCTGAAACTAAACTCCCTCTTGAAAACGTGTAAGCCAGCCACTTCATGCCTTTATACACCCCTCCCACACCTATTTTAAATAGCCAATGTCTAAGTTGCCACTCCCTATCAACCCTGTATACTGAGGAGATAGGTTTAATCCTGGATGTGAAGACTCCTTTCTTGGTTGGTATTTTGAGCTACTACATCCATAAGTATAGGTCAAGTTCATCAAGTTGTAGCAATTTACACTTGCTTCCTTTATCAAATTTGTTTGTCTTCCTCTAGTCGAGCTCTGGTCATCTGGTGTCTTTTTTGCGTTTCCAAATTTAGATGTGAAATGGTCTACATATAATTCTAGGTTTGCCATTATAGGTGAACTTTTCTTTATTCTCCTCACAATATAAAACCCAAATCCACTGCTGGCAAGTTGATTCTGACACATCGTGCCCCTATATGTCAGACTAGAACTTCTCTATAGGGTTTCCAAGACTGTTATATTTATAGGGGAGTCCTGGTGTGGAGCTGTGGGTTAATGCGCCAGACTGCAAAGCCATTTGAACTACAAGATTGGCAGTTCAAACTCACCAGCTGCTCGTCAGAAACCTTATACAGGGTCACTATGGGTCGGAACCGACTCGACAGCACTCAACAACAACAACAAAAATATTTATGGGAACTAGCTGCCACATCTGTCTCCTATAGATTCCAACCAGCTACCTTTTGGTTAGTAACCAAGTGTTTCAACCCTGCACCACCAGGATTCCTCCTTACAATACAGCTTGTTACTATTTGGATCCTTCTCAAAAACGTTAGAGAGGCAGGTGAAACCCATGTCCTCTATTGAAGTTTCTTGGTGTGATGCCGTAGGATACATAGTGAATTGCTACCACAAGGTCAGGCAAATAAACCCATCAGCCACTCTTAGGAAATCCTATACAGGGTCCTATTGAAATAGAGCCAACTCTGTGATACTTAGCAGCATCATAACAATGACTGTTTCCAGGTTCAGTTGAATCCTCAGCTTCTGCTTAAATGACCAGTGACTTCTGGCCTCATTTCTTTTCAATGGACTAAGCAATTACAGTATCACTGTTAGATTATTTGAATTAACATGGATTTTTTTTTGAAAGTGGAAAATGAAAACTAATCTACAAAGTTTAATACACCATCCTTTTTGGCTTCTTTCACTTTTTCTTTGTATCATGGATACTATATTTTATGTCAAGAATTATTTTTTTCTTTATCTATAGTGTATTCTGTTAGCGTAGTGGTAACGAATCAGGCTGCGAACCTTAAGGTCAGCGGTTTGAAACTACCAGCTGCTCCGCAGGAGAAAGATGAGGTTTTCTACTCCCGTAAAGATTTACACCCTCGGAAACCCTGTACAGGGTCGCTATGGGTCGGAACTGACTCGACGGCACTTAACAACAACAACATAGTGCATTAGAAGAAATTGTTGTTGGTTAGCATTGATTAGAACCGACTCAAAGGCACTTAACAACAACAACAACAACAACAATTGATTAGGCTCCAAATCAAACTTCCATGTTAATCTTGTGTTTAACTAGCTGGTGTGGCACTGTGGGTTAATGTGCCAGACTGCAAAGCCGTTTGAACTGCAAGGTCGGCGGTTCAAGCTCACCAACTGCTCCTTGGAAACCCTATAGAGAGTCACTATGGGTTAGAATTGACTCGATGGCACTTAACAACAACAATCATCTCATTGAATACCAAAAGAGGCATTAAAAATCCAAGCACTAGGCACAAGGAATCAATATTATCAAGTCAATATCAGTGGTTTGCTAAAGCCTAGAAGGTACTAATGGGGGTAGAGCAGGCAGAAAGAGACTGATAGATTTCTGGACCTCCACAATGCTAGTTTTCTACCCCAGAATAACCTCCTTCTGTAAATTTGCAATCTAGCAGTATTTTTCAATCTGTATCTATTTTGGAGACATAATTTATTCGGCTGTCAGTTTGTTGTACTGTGGTGACTTGCATCTTGATATGATGCTGATGCTATGTCACCAGTATTTTTAATACCATCAAGGTCACTCACAGTGGACAGGTTCCAGTGGACCTTCCAGAATAAGACAGATGAAGAAGAAAGTCCTGGATATCCACTTTTTAAAAATTATCTATTGAAAACTCTAGGTACTACAACAGAATATTGTCTGATATAATCCCTTAGGTTGGAAGACACTACACAATGGGTGCAACATTGGTCTCAAGCATCTTGAAGATGGCACAAGGCTTGGCAAGTTTTGTTATGTTATACATCAACCAATTGAGTAAAAGCTAGTTGAACACAATATTAATTCATAATATGGTTAGTGACATCTGCTGTTTTTGTGTGCCATGGAAACCTTGTTGTTGAGTACAGTTGAGTCATTTCCGACTCATAGTGACCCTGTATAGGGTTTCCAAGGAGTGCTGGTGAGTTTGAACTGCTGGCTGTGTGGTTCAAACCGACCTTGAGGTCCTTGAGGTCCTACAGCACCACACCAGGACTCACTAGTAAAAATACAAAATGCTGCAAGGGAGTTAAGAGCGATGAAGTCTTGGAAAGATCATTGCATTTGGCAAGCGAAATGGCATTGACCATCTTAGAAGGGTAACTATAGCTAAATTGATTAAATTGATCTTTCTTAAATATAAAATGGGAAAAAAATGGATGATGCTCTGGAAGAAATTTAGGCGAATGTGACATTTTATTGTGACACTGATAAAATGTATCATTTTATTATGACAATGAGTAATAGATAAGATAGCATCAAGTGAATGGTTTTTACTTAAATGTCTAATTATTTCTGTTTACAAAGTATAAAATAATTTATTGCATGATACTCATCCTATTCAAGAATGTTATTTTAATTATTGGAAACCCATGCTTTATTGATAGTTTAATATAATATAATCTTTATAATATTCATATGGAAACTGATTCATCTCATATTCCAGGCTCAAATTTATAAGAACATACATTTGGTTATATGTATTAATTTTAAAATGAAATATCCTATAGCTTTTGTCAGGTATGTTTAATGATTTCATAAGTTTCATTTGTCATCAATCTTCAAAAAAAATGCTCATTGGGTTTTTATGTGTATTTTGTTTTTATAGAACATAAAGGAACAAGAAGGGATTTCAGAAATTATGATAAACCTTGGCAACTAAATGCAAAGAAGCCCAAAAAATCGAAAAGTGACATTGCTGTATCTAATATTTCTCCACCATCACCAGAATCCAAATCATGTAAGGAAGTTTGTTATTCAAATGTTATTTAATGCATGCAAACCTATGTTATTAAGAAGATAGAGAGGGTCTGAATTGAAGTCAAATTCTTACTGAGATTTCTGGTTATTAATCCTAATGAATTTCTCTTTGATTTCAGCATTAACAGCAAGTTTTATTTATTGTGTATCTGATGCTGCAGGATAATGTACTGGAACGCAAGGTCAGTTTGAAACACAAGCTTGGCAGTTCAAACTCACCAGTCACTCCTTGGAAGCCCAATACAGGGTCACTATGAGTTGGAACCAACTCTTTAACACTTAACAACATCAATCCCTTAAACATCTGCAATTGATTTAGATAGCTTTAAGATTAATACTCCTTTTAGATAGCAAGCTGCAGGGAACAGGACCCTTGCCTTTGAAAGCCAGTTGCAGCATTGCATCATATTTCAAAGCAATACCAAGTCTACATTTGTAGATTTTATGTACTTAAGGACATATAAAACAAATGGAATCTTTTACAGACTAAGCAAAGGAGATTGTTATTCAAAATGTTTAACAAAAAAAGTAAATCTAAAAACATATAATCCTTCAACCACAGTCTCCCTATTCATTATTTTCGACTAAAATCTCTATAATTTCTCTCTCTCACTACACAGAGTACCCCCTTTCTCTCAGTGCTTCCTTTATTCTCCCACCAGTATAGCCACTGGGTATACTGGTGCTCTGCTTCTACCACATATTTATAAACACACCAACTAGCTCAGGAGGCAGTAGCAAATCAGTTTTTCTTGGAGAACAGTCAGGTTGAAAGCTGTTCTTTTTGTGCTTTAATTTTTCGTGTTGGTACAGAGTAAAATGATTTTAATTTCAACAGAGCAAGAAGGGAGGTAGAAAATATTTGTCGAGTGTGCTAAAAATCAGTTATATGCTACTGGAATCTGAATTTGGGCCACTCTGAGTTTCCTTATTGATAAAGTGCCTAGTTATAAGTGTCCTATTTGCCCTTTAATGTTATGTAAACTTTCCCTCACTTTGAAATAATTGAACCAGCCCTTACTTACAACAAATTCTGCATCATGATCGCCTTCACTTGTTACATGTGCCACTTTTAAAGGCTTCAGTCCTTCTCTTTGCACCTGTTCCAATTTACCTACAAATTCTTAACGATACAATTAGGCACAACAGATCTTGTCCACTTAAAAATTATTTTATGAGTCCCACAAAGTTATATTGAAAACTATGTGGATTCTTACAAATTGGTGCATACATTTAGGTCCTGTTTTTTTGCTTTGTTTTTTAAATATATATTTGGTGTAATAAATTACCTAAAATAAGTCCTTGTTTCCTGAGAAGCATCTATAACCCTGATCACAACTCCAGATAAGGACAATTCAAGAAATGAAAGCCAGAGACTAGTATCCCTCATTACCATGCAGACAAATCATTTCACCAGATATTATCAATTCCAAATAAGGAAATATGTAAAAAGATAATACCCTATGATCAAACAGAGCTAATCCTAAAAGTTCAAGGTGTGTTTAGCATACAAAATCAAGTTGTGTAATTCACTGCATTAACAGACTTAAGGGAAAAATTGCATAGCCATTGAGTAGATGCAGAAAAAAAATAGTTCACAAAATACAAAGACTTTATTATTAAAGCTCTCAGTAAACTATAAATATAGTTGCATTTGCTCAGCTTAATAAAAGGAATCTCAAAAAATCTTACAGCTAATATGATAATTTGATACTGAAATATTATATAGCTTTATAAAAGGGATCTCTGAAAAATCTTAGAGCTAATATGATAATCAAGATTGAAATATTATATAGTCTTCCTTTGTGACTGAGAATAAGAGAGGGATGAGCACCCTTATCATTTATATTCATCATGTAGTAGAGTTCATAACCAATGAAGTCAGACAACAGAATGATGTATAAATATTGAAAATGAAGAGATAAAAATGTACTTTTTATATTTAAATACATTTAATAGAAAACACCTAAAATTAATGAGTTCAGCAAAATTGAATATGCAAAATTGAAATATAATTTTATAGTCCTGGCATGACATTGTAGGATAAACACTAGACTGCTAACTATAAGGTCAGTGGTTCAATCCCATTGGTCACGCCACAGAAACCCTATACAAAGTCGCTATGAGATGGAACTGACTTGATAACACTTAACAACAGTAACATAAAACAAGGTGTTACTTTGAGGACTAAAGTGTACCCGATTCAAACAGTGGTATTTTCAATCACCTCATCTGCATGTGAAAGCTGGACAGTGAATAAAGAAGACCATATAGGAAATGATGCATTTGAAATTTGGTGTTAGTGAATACTATTGGAACCACCATGATCTGCCAGCAGAACAAACAAACCTGTCCTGGAAGAAATACAGCCAGAATGCTCCTTAGAACCAAGGATGGTGAGGCTTCATTTCTCATACTTTAAAAATGTTATCAGGAGGGACCAAGACCTAATGCTTGGTAAACTGGAGGGTCTGTGAAAAGGAGGGAGATGTCCAACAAGATTGATTAACATAGTGGCAGCAGCAATGGGCTCAAACCTAACAGCAGTTGTAAGGATGTAGGACGGGGCACTGTTACATACTCTTGTGAGTTGAAACTGAATTGATGGCACCTAGTAACAACGGCAACAAAAATACTGGCATGAAAGAACTTAATATGCAAGGATCAATTGAATGGGAATTTGTACAAATTCTCTACACTCAAATCTGAATTCATTGCTGAGAGAAATTAAAGAGCTGTATGTGAGTGATATGTACATGCTCACGTTCAATATTCTACAAATTGGTCAACAGATGGAATGTAATTTCTATTGGAATCCAAGAAGAATTTTTAGCCCCTATTGTTGTTAAATGCCATTGAGTTGGTTCCAACTCATACCAACCCTGTATTGGGTTCCGTAGGTGGTTAATCTTTGTGAGTGCAGAAAGTCTCATCTGTCTTCCCTGCAGCAGCTGGTGGACCAACTTTGTGCTTCATACTTCTATGCTTATCCCACAGAGCTAGCGTACTTCCATTTTGTTGTTGTTGTTAAGTGTTGTTGAGTTAGACTCATAGTGACCCTGCATAGGGTTTTCAAGGAGCAGCTGATAGATTTGAACTACTGATCTAGTGCTTAGCAGTCTTGTGCTTATCCTATAGTGCCATACCAGTAGTCCTTAGAAATTGACATATTATTCTCAAAATTATTTGAAAAAGTAAAAAGACATGATTTTGCAAAGCAATTTTTAAGAATATGAGCTAGGTTTGGGAATTTACCCTACCTGAACTAAAGGCTTATTATAAAATGACTGTTATGAAGACAGTATGGTTTTCATGAAACAGTTGATAAATAGATCAACTGAGCATAATAAAATAAAGGGTCTAAAATAGATTCGTATTGGTTGTTAAGTGCCACTGAATGGGTTCCAACTCATAGCGACCCTGTATAAGCTTTCCAAGGAGTAACTGGTGAGCTTGAACCGTTGACCTTGTGGTTTAAACTGACCTTGCAGTCCACCGCATTAATCCACAGCACCACACCCAGTTACATTATCTCCCCCACTCCTCCAACAAAACCAAGTGCTGCCAAGTCAATTCTGATTCACTGCAACCTTGTATAGGGTTTCTGAAGTGGTAAATTTGTACAGTAACAGAAACCCTCATTTTTCTCCTTTAGAGTGGCTTATGGATTTGAACTACCATTACTAGTCCTGTGCATATCCCACAGAGCCACCAGAGTTCCTTTATTTCCAACAATGACACTGAAATAATTAAATGGAGAAAGAAATATCCTTTCAACAAAGTGGATAATTATATGAAAAAAAAGTATGGCCCTTGACCCCTACCTTAAATCATATGTGCAAATCGAATTAAAATGAATTAGGGTGTTGGTGATGTTGGGTGCCATCAAATAAGTTCTGACTCATAGCGGCCCTGTGTATGGGGTGTGATGGGGTGTCATTGGGTAAAGCATTCATGAAATTTTTCTATATATTTCATATACCTGCACATGATTTTGATATCTCAAAATAAAAACATAAAATGTGCCATCATTGGAGTAAGTAGTAAAGCCAAACGTGAGAAATATTGGCAGCACATGTCTGGCCGAAAACTTGTATCCCTGGTATGTTAAGAACTCTGTAAATAATTAAAATATCTTGGGTAATTAAACTTTGTTGGCAGTTTTTGAGTCTGCCCAAAGTTGTCTCAGAATAAAGTCCTGGTTATTTTGTGGAGCACAGTTCTACTCTGACGTACATGGATCATGACATTGAAATTGCTTGATATATGTTTTTTTTATTATTATTATAGAAGTGTAAGATACTGTTGTTCTGTGGATACAGAGTTTCTGTTAGATTGATAAAATTTTGGAAAGATAAAATTTTGGTGTTGGCAGCATAACATTCTAAATGTGATGAAAGACACTCAAAAATGACTGCAACAGTGAATTTTATGTTTTGTATATTTTGCCACACAATTGAAAACATTTAGCAAATTTTGGATACTCCAATCATGTCTGTTTTAAAAAACTGTACCATTTCCATTTAAAAATGTTCCCTAACTAAACTACTGTTTACTCTTCAACTGCTTAGATGATAAATAGTGTTGACAATGGAAACAGAAATTGAAAAGTGAGTTGGACAATAATACTGACTTAAAAAAAAAATTGTATATTGTCTTCTTTTGTAAAGAAAAAGAAAAAGAGACCTTGATGGCATATAGTAATTTAAACACACACACACACACACACACACACATTAATTAATTAAAGAAATAATACAGATTAGGGAAATTGTTCAAAAGAGGTTGGCAAAATCTTGAACAATGGAATACATGGTAGAACTTCTTTTGTCTGCTCCCTCATCCCCGCGCATCTATCCTAACCTGGCTGGGTCCCCAGGGATTCTTTAGATCCTATGATCATGATTGGCTGGCTTGTGAGGTAATCACAGTATGCCTGGAAGTCTTTACCCCAGACATTGATCACAGCCACTATTTTCACTTTCCATTGCTGGAACAGAGTGTGCAGATATTAGCTGAATTCTCCATCCAAGAATCTATTAAATAAACTCAAAGGAGGCAGTTGCTGCTAATTTGTATTAAATATGTAACTTTTTGAAAATTATGGAGGTAATTGTACCTTCTTGGACTACTTAAATAAAACAGGCATATGGAAATATAAATTAGTAGTCTCTTCTTATTTACTGCCCTCGAACTCTACTCCCTTAGAGATAAAAAGTTGTTAGGGAGTTGACTCTGACTTATGATAGGTAAGCCATGTGACAGAGTAAAGTATAAAGTGCTCCATAGGACTTTTACGGATTGATTCTAATAAGTAGATTGCCTGGCTCTTCGTCCAAGGTACCTTGGGGTGAATTGGAACTTCCAGACTTTTCATTAGCCACTGAACATGTTAACGATTTGCACTCCTCAGTGTTTCCTCTAGAAATAGTGTGCATTTTGACGTTGTTTTCATTGTATAGACACATACAAACAATTTACGTGGGCTGATCTGCTTTACTAAACTGTATCCAGCAACTGAAGGGCATTTAGATTCTTTCTAAGACTTTTCTGTCACAATATATTGAAAGAAACAAACATCTTGTGTGTTCTAGTAAAAAAAACAGTGCAATTCATTTCTTCATGATGATTTTTCCAGGCATAAGATCGCTGTCTCACAGGGACAGGGCATTTTCTTATTGTAATACATAATTCCAGAATACTTTTTCCGAAAGGTTACAGAGAGATATATTTCAAGGTTACAGAGAGATATATTTCAATTATAAGTCTGAGGCTCTATTATCTGTATCCCTGTCATATAAATGTTTTAAAAATCATTATTTTTATCAAAACAAAAACATACATGGTCAACAGTCAAAGTAGAGTGTGGTGGCTCCCTATGCTAAGCACTGGACTGCGAACTACAAGGTCTGTGCGTCCACCAGCCACTCTGCGGGAGAAAGATGAGGATGTCTGTTCCCTCTAAAATTTAAAGCCTTGGAAAGCCTATTGGGGTTTGAGATAGAAATAAGTGATGACATTTAACAACAACAAAAATCAAAGTACCATTGCAAGGTAGCAATGTCTTTCTGTCCACTGCATTCTGCTCCTAAATGGGAATCATTTTCAGTTCTTTTTCAAGTTTCTTCTGGTACATATTTCTTCATATCTGAGTATTTTTAAATACTTTCATAGTGCTGTTTTACTGTTAAAATTTGAGTCCTCTCTCTTTCCCGAGCCTTTGTTTAATTCTCACAGCTCAGTAATGCAATTATTTCCAGTATTGGTTGAAAATATACTGTATTGATATTGTTGTCCGTTGTTATTGTTAAGTGCCTTTGAATCAATTCCAACTCATAACGATGCTGTATAGGAGTTCCAAGGAGCAGCTGGTGGGTTTGAACTTCCAACCTTGCTTCTCATACTGACCTTGAGGTCCAGAGCTTATCCTCCAGCACCACACCAGGACTCCATTGTCTGTTGTTAAGTACCATCAAGGCAGTTCCAACTCATAGCAACCCTGTAGTGGATTTTTGAGGAGTGACAGGTGAGTTTGAACCACCGACCCTGTGGTTCAAACTGACCTGCAGTCGAGTGCTTATCCTACAGTGCCACACCAGGACTCCTGATGATATTAATAAACTATTAATTGGCATTTTTCAAAGTTGATTCATGAGCTATCCAACTATTTTTTTTTTTCTTCAGAATTAACCATTGCTTTGTTTTCCTGTTTGTTCTGTTTTTTATATGCCCATCGTTAATGCTCCCCTGATCCCTGCAAAGGAACTTTAATGCCTGTCAATATGATTGATGCATCAAGTCATCTTTACGCCTTTCTAATTTTATTTGATTATTTATACTTTATTTCATTTTAAAGATTTACAGTCCTCTGCCCCTTGGCTCCAATCTTGACTCCTTGATTTTCTCAGCTGTCTTCTGAGAGCATTCTTCACTGCCATTCTGGAAATTCCTTTTGCCTTTCCATTATGGTGGATCACTTATTTCCTGAATTCCAAATCTTCCCCCTTTTTTGCTTTACTCATTTATTTTGGTGAAGCAGCTCCTCAGTCACTTTTTTAAAAAATAGTACTTGAGGGATAACATTTTTCAGTCCTTACTTGAGCATAGAATTCTAAGTTGGAAGTAATTTTCACTTGAAATTTGCGAATCATTGCGTCTCCGCTTTTTAAGATCAAATATTGCTAATAAGAAGTCTGATCATTTTACTTTCGATTTATCCCCCTGGAAACTTTCAAGGTGTTTTCTTTATTGTCAGTGTTTTAAAATATTATGATATCTTGAATTGTGTCATATACTTAGTGGGCCTTTTTAATATGAAAAAGAATGAAGTTTTTCATCTAAAAGTATTAGGCATGCTATTCCAAGCTCTGGCCCCACATCCATATTGAAGGTCCTGCTAGGTGAAAATAAAATTCAGAAACAAAAAATAAGTAAGTTCTTACATTCCTACTAATTTGATATTGTTCCTCCTGGATTGATGCATTATTGTTTAAATGGAAGGACATGTACTATTTATTTATTTTGCGCTTCCTCTCTTTTGGATTTAGATTTGTTTTCACTATCTTGTTAAATCCTATTGCCCCTCATAAGTCCATTTTTTATCTTCTAAAAAAATATGTACTATTTATTCTATAGTAATTCTTTGAGAGAAAATAAATTCCTTTAGTATAATTTTAGTAATAATTTGGGGTAAGCATGCTACATACATGTATTCAGGTGGTTTTCAGAATATAAAGCAAAAATTTCTTTAAAATACATTAAAATTTCTGATGAAGAAGTTAGAAATTATTTTATTCTGATAACTTGATACATTATATTCTTTGCCTGTGTATATTTTCCCCAAATTACAGAAATGACTAGTTTCAGATCAGTGTCTGCATTTTCTTCTTTCTATAAACACCATCATCCTTCCCTTCACTGTTTGAGTTAAAATGCTTTATTCTACCCTTTGTTTGATCATCAGAAAACCATCTTCAAGGGAACCATTGATCTTGGTGCAATCATTCACATGATGATGAATATTAAGTTTATACCTTTATTTAACATGCATATGAAATAACCTTTATTTATTTATTTTTTTTAACACAGTGCCAACATCAGTAGAACATGCTAAATGGAATTGGCATATTAAACCAGAGAGCCGTGAGTTTGATGAATTGAACCACATCCTTCAAGAGAGCAAGAAACTGGGAAAAGCCCTAGAGAATCTTTCTCGAAGTAAGTTCATTTACTTGATCATAACTGAAATTCCTAACCAAAATTCAAAGAAGACACATTCATTACTATCAACGGTAACCTATTTGCAACATCCTCCTTATAATTTTGTGAGAGGCTGAGGAGTTCTAAGGGCATGAGACTGAAAATGAAGACTGATTGAGAATTTTACACAGAAGACTGGTTATACAGAGTTGAAGAAACTATAGCATACCAAGACTGTTTGACTGTATCCTCTGTAACAAGGTCTCTGCCACCAGGTCACATGTACCTAATGTCTCTTTTGTACACATCTTGAAACATACATAGTTCTGTATTATTATTGTTAATATATGTATCTGTTGCCTCCATTAGCTCTTGACTTAAAACTTTTTAAGGGAAGTAATTGGGCCTCGCTCTGCCATCTATGAGGTGACGGACTTTAGGCAAATCCTTTAATCTTCATTAGCCTCAGTTCTTTCATTTCTAAAACAGGAAAACAATATTGAACTCACTTTGTCTGTGTGATGTGATTAAAAAATTGTATATTTCAAATTGTTGTTGAGTACCGTTGAGTTAGTTCCAACTCATAGTGACCCTGCATGGGTTTTCTGAGGAGCAGCTGGTGGGTTTGAACTTCTGACCTTGTGGTCTGCTGTCCAGTTCTGATCCTACAGTGCCACAATAGGAGCAATTTAAAATAAGCACTTTAAAATAAATGTTATTGCCACGATAGTCAGCAAACAAGTATTTCATAAATTCACTTTATATGTACAGCTTTACATATTTCTACTTTATGAGTTTTGTTGTGAGTTCTTTCCTTATCTCTTAAGTATTTCTCAAGAGTAAACTTTGGAAATACGTTAATGCCATGGCCTCATTAAAATTTTCTTCTAAAGACGTGAAATGTTAAAAAATACTAAAATGTAAAATATGAAAATACTAAGAAATTCTGTTGTTGTTAAATGCCACTGAGTCATATAATCCAGTACTGATCCTACAGCACCACAAATTCTAGTGGAATGTATTTGAGGTTCTGTGTATGTTTTCACATAGCATAGTTTTGCATATTTCATGACTTGTGTTACTTGGTGCATTTGGAGAGAAGTTGTGTGGGAGAAAGATGAGGCTTTCTGCTCCTGTAAAGATTTATAGCCTCAGAAACCCTGTACAGGGTCGCCATGAGTTGGAACTGACCCTGTGGTACATAATCACCAACCACTACTTACAATGTATGTTTATATATACAGAAGCATGGAGTCCTGGTGTGACATGTAGGATAAGCACTAGACCACAAAGTCAGTTTGAACTGCAAGCTGAAACTCATCAACTGATCTTTAGGAATGCTATCCAAGGTCTCCAAGAGTTAGAACTAACACATCAGCACTTAACAGCAGCAGTATATACATATATACTGGAATCTTGTGTGGCACTGTAGGATAAGCACTGAACTGCTAATTGCAAGGTCAGTGTTTCAAACCAACCATCTGTTCCTTGAAAATTCTAAATAGGGTTGCTATGAGTTGAAACTGATACATTTGCCCTTAACTACAACATATACAGAAATAATGTATATGTACACATTATTATGTTTTTGTATATAGGACCACATATATAGGTGATTGCTTATAAATATTATGTATAGGTAATTGTGTTTATGTATATTTGCATGTTGTTGTTACTGTGGTCAAGTCGATTCTGACCCATAACAACCCTGTATATAGTTTCTAAGAAGCACATGATGAGTTTGAACTGCCCAGTTTGTGGTTCACAGTCTAGTGCTGCTCCTACAGTACCACACCAGGAGATAGACGTACATGTAATTATGTTTATGTATATATGAATATGTCCACCTGTCATCTGTCAGTTTGTCATACTGTTGTGGCTTGCATGTTGCTGTGAATTTGGAACCTTTGCCACTGGTATTTTGAATACCAGCCAGGTCACCCATGGTGAACAGGTTTCACCTGAGCTTTCAGATTAAGACTTCTGGTGTGGAACAGTAGGAGAAGCACTGGAATGCAAACCACAGGATCGGTGGTTCAAACCCACTAACTGCTCCTTGGAAACCCTATACAGGGTCGCTGTGAGTTGGAACCAACCTATGGCACTTAACAACAATAGCAACAACAGTGAAAAGGAGAGATGGACTACTTCCAAATATTTAGTCGCTGAAAACCTTATGAATATCAGTGGAACACTGTCATATAGCACCAGAATATTGAATACTGAAACATGATGAGAAGACCAGAATATTGGCAAATATGGTGCCACATGATGAGCTTTACAGGTTGGAAGGCACTCAAATTATGTCTGGGTAAGAGTTGCCTCCTCCAGGTAGAGTTGACCATGATGACACCAATGGAGTAGAGCTTTCAGGACCTTCGTTTACTGATGGAGCACAACTCAAAATGAGGAGAAACAACTGTAACATACATTAATAATTGGAACATGGAATTTATGAAAGCATGAATCTAGGAAAATTGGAAATGAAAATGAAATGGAACACATAAACAGTGTTATATCCTAAGCATTAATGAAAGGAGCTCTGGTAGCGTAGTGGTTACGAATTGGGCTGTGAACCACAAGGTCAGCAGTTCGAAACTACCAGCTGTTCCACAGGAGAAAGATAAGGCAGTCTGCTCCCGTAAAGATTTGCAGCCTCGGAAACCCTGTGCAGGGTCGCTATGAGTCGGAACCGACTCCACAGCACATAACAACAACAAGCATTAATGAAATAAAATGGACTGATATTGGCCATTTTGAATCTGACCATCCCATGGTTTCCTATGCTAGGATTAACAAATTGAAAAGGAATGGTATCGATTTCATTATAAAAAAGAACATTTCAAGATATATCTTGAAGTACATTGCTGTCTGTGATAGGATAATGTCCATGCACTTAAAATGAAGATAAGTCAAAACTACTCACCAACCACTAAAG